GACGCAGGCGATCATGGCCCTCCACAATTTCCTGTCCGTCTGTAGCTTTTAAATTTTTTGTCTTTTTATTTCTTCTAAACTCTGTTCCGCCATCCATTTACACAAACTCATTAAATATGTTATACGTTGTTTTCCCCTGTTTCTCTTGCCTTGTCTTGCAAGAATATGATTTTCCTCTTTCCTCATTATGTGTGCTAGATATTTTAACTGTTTCTTCCTGGTGTTAAGTATGTTTCCATTTTTGTTTTCATTTTTGTTTCCATTTTCTCGCAAACCTCGTCGTTGCTCATATGTTCAGTCCATGGTATCCTCAGCATCTTTCTGTAGAACCACGTTTCTGTTTCATCAAGTCTGTTCTTCGTCTTTGAAGAGATTGTCCACCGTTCTCTGATATCACGTAACATTTCAGTACTCTTTATTTTCTTTCTAACAAAGTTTTCCTGTTATTTTTTTTAATACTCTGCTCAGTCAGATACATTGCTAAAGCTAAGCAGAGTATTAAGATTGTGGTAATGGTAATATCGCCGTTTCCCTACAAGGAAACATTTGGCAAGGAAAAATTTTTATTCAGTTTTGAACGAGCAGCCAGAGCTGTTATCGCTCTTTCAGTATCTAACCTTTTGTTTGAAATTTGGAATAAAAAAAATTTATATTATATGATATTTCAAGAAAATGGGTTTCTCATATCCAGTAGCTGTTATCGCTCTTTCCAGTATCTAACCTTTTGTTAGAAATAGTGTGGAACTTCAACATCTTGATTATATTATTATTTACTTTTCGTGTTACATATGATATCCATTTATTTCAAGAAAATAGGTTTCTCATATCCAGTAGCTGTTATCGCTCTTTCCAGTATCTAACCTTTTGTTAGAAATAGTGTGGAACTTCAACATCTTGATTATATTATTATTTACTTTTCGAGTTACATATGATATCCATTTATTTCAAGAAAATAGGTTTCTCATATCCAGTAGCTGTTATCGCTCTTTCCAGTATCTAACTTTTGTTAGAAATAGTGTGGAACTTCAACATCTTGATTATATTATTATTTACTTTTTCGAGTTACATATGATATCATTTATTTCAAGAAAATAGGTTTCTCATATCCAGTAGCTGTTATCGCTCTTTCCAGTATCTAACCTTTTGTTAGAAATAGTGTGGAACTTCAACATCTTGATTATATTATTATTTACTTTTCGAGTTACATATGATATCCATTTATTTCAAGAAAATAGGTTTCTCATATCCAGTAGCTGTTATCGCTCTTTCCAGTATCTAACCTTTTGTTAGAAATAGTGTGGAACTTCAACATCTTGATTATATTATTATTTACTTTTCGAGTTACATATGATATCCATTTATTTCAAGAAAATAGGTTTCTCATATCCAGTAGCTGTTATCGCTCTTTCCAGTATCTAACCTTTTGTTAGAAATAGTGTGGAACTTCAACATCTTGATTATATTATTATTTACTTTTCGAGTGATATCCATTTATTTCAAGAAAATAGGATATCCATTTATCGCTCTTTTTTAACCTTTTGTTAGAAAAGTGTGGAACTTCAACATCTTGAAATTAGGTTTCGAGTACATATGATATCATTTATTTCAAGAAAATAGGTTTTATCGCTGTTATCGCTCTTTTTCCAGTATCTAACCTTTTGTTAGAAATAGTGATTATATTATTATTTACTTTTTGTTACATATGAATCCATTTATTTCAACAGTATCTAGTGTGGAACTTCAACATCTTGATTATATTATTATTTACTTTTCGTGTTACATATGATATCCATTTATTTCAAGAAAATAGGTTTTACAGTAGCTGTTATCCAGTAGCTGTTATCGCTCTTTCCAGTATCTAACCTTTTGTTAGAAATAGTGGAACTTCAACATCTTGATTATATTATTATTTATTTTTCCAGTATATGATATCCATTTATTTCAAGAAAATAGGTTTCTCATATCCAGTAGCTGTTATCGCTCTTTTCCAGTATCTAACCTTTTTGTTAGAAATAGTGTGGAACTTCAACATCTTGATTATATTATTATTTACTTTTCGAGTTACATATGATATCCATTTATTTCAAGAAAATAGGTTTCTCATATCCAGTAGCTGTTATCGCTCTTTCCAGTATTTAACCAGTCAACATCTTGATTATATTATTAACTTTTCGAGTTTTGATATCCATTTATTTCAAGAAAAATCATATCCAGTAGCTGTTATCGCTCTTTCAATCTAATTTTGTTAGAAATATTGGAACTTCAACATCTTATTTACTTTTCGTTACATATGTTCCATATGATATCCATTTATTTCAAGAAAATAGGTTTCTTGATTATATCATTTCCAGTAGCTGTTATCGCTCTTTCCAGTATCTAACCTTTTGTTAGAAATCTTGTGGAACTTCAACATCTTGATTATATTATTATTTACTTTTCGTGTTACATATGATATCCATTTATTTCAAGAAAAAAAGGTTTCTCATATCCAGTAGCTGTTATCGCTCTTTCCAGTATCTAACCTTTTGTTAGAAATAGTGTGGAACTTCAACATCTTGATTATATTATTATTTACTTTTTCGAGTTACATATGATATCCATTTATTTCAAGAAAATAGGTTTCTCATATCCAGTAGCTGTTATCGCTCTTTCCAGTATCTAACCTTTTTGTTAGAAATAGTGTGGAACTTCAACATCTTGATTATATTATTATTTACTTTTCGTGTTACATATGATATCCATTTATTTCAAGAAAATAGGTTTCTCATATCCAGTAGCTGTTATCGCTCTTTCCAGTATCTAACCTTTTGTTAGAAATAGTGTGGAACTTCAACATCTTGATTATATTATTATTTACTTTTCGAGTTACATATGATATCCATTTATTTCAAGAAAATAGGTTTCTCATATCCAGTAGCTGTTATCGCTCTTTTTCTAACCTTTTGTTAAAATAGTGGAACTTCAACATCTTGATTATATTATTATTTCTTTTCCAGTTACATATGATATCCATTTATTTCCAGTAGGTAGCTGTTATCGCTCTTTCCAGTATCTAACCTTTTGTTAGAAATAGTGTGGAACTTCAACATCTTGATTATATTATTATTTTCTTTTCGTGTTACATATGATATCCATTTATTTCAAGAAAATAGGTTTCTCATATCCAGTAGCTGTTATCGCTCTTTCCAGTATCTAAGTTAGAAATAGTGTGGAACTTCAACATCTTGATTATATTATTATTTACTTTTCGTGTTACATATGATATCCATTTATTTCAAGAAAATAGGTTTCTCATATCCAGTAGCTGTTATCGCTCTTTTTCTAACCTTTTGTTAGAAATATCTAACATCTTGATTATATTGTTTAGAAATATTTATTTGGAAAAAGGTTTTCAAGTATCTTGATTATATTATTATTCAACATCTTGATTATATTTTTACTTTTGTTACATATGATATCCATTTATTTCAAGAAAATAGGTTTCTCTGTTATTTCCAGTATCTAACCTTTGTTAGAAATGTTGGAATCAACATCTTGATTATATTATTATTTTTTCCAGTATCTGAATCCATTTTGTCAAGAAAATAGTTTCTCATATCCAGTAGGAACTTCCAATCTAACCTTTTGTTAAAAATATTACTTCAACATTATTTATTTTATTTTTTTTTGTTACATATGATATCCATTTATTTCAAGAAAATAGGTTTCTCATATCCAGTAGCTGTTATCGCTCTTTCCAGTATCTAACCTTTTGTTAGAAATAGTGTGGAACTTCAACATCTTGATTATATTATTATTTTATTTTTTTCATTTATTTTACATATGATATCCATTTATTTCAAGAAAATAGGTTTTTCAAGAAAATAGGTTTCTCAATCCAGCTGTTATCTGTTATCGCTCTTTCCAGTATCTAACCTTTTGTTAGAAATAGTGTGGAACTTCAACATCTTGATTATATTATTATTTTACTTTTTGTGTTACATATGATATCCATTTATTTCAAGAAAATAGGTTTTCTCATATCCAGTAGCTGTTATCGCTCTTTCCAGTATCTAACCTTTTGTTAGAAATAGTGTGGAACTTCAACATCTTGATTATATTATTATTTACTTTTCGTGTTACATATGATATCCATTTATTTCAAGAAAATAGGTTTC